CTAGTCCGTCTGTGGGCTCGGAGCATTTAGCCGCCCTTCCCGATACTACGAGATAGGTAATTTTTCTCGAGGTCTCCACGGGCGCAATGGACGGCTAGGAAGCTGTCGTATATAGCGCAGCGCGTGAACGGTGAGGTTCAACATACGGATGCCACTCAATCTCACGCGGAAGCTCATTTGTACACATGCGAGGGATATTGGACGCCTCAGAACGAGGATTGCGGCCAGTATTCTTGAACGACCGTTACAAACATCTATCGATCTGCAGTCTTCCGCTCGTTCGGTATCCTGTGTTATGAGTCTCCATGAATACTGCCGTAGCAGGTCCGTTCTTTATGTACAAGTGAGTGCCTTTTTCACCTGATGCTTTGACGGATAGCCTGATATAGCTATTGACGGGCATGCTTGCCAATGGAGACCAGGATAGATACCATGTTGTAAGGTAAGTACCACCGTGTAACTACTCTCATGTACGAACCTTGATGATCGGCTCCCACTGCTCCGGCGATACAATAGGTTCTGTGCATTACAGTCAATCAAAAACGGATGTCGTCTTGCAATTACCTGGAACGTTTACAGCTCATCTCTTCAGGACAAACCATTTCGGCACTTGCGGCATGCCGTGAACGCGTCAAATTATCGTGGCAACGGTACAGAGGATGCATCAACGGCGGAAGAAGGGTGGGAAGTCTCCACAAACCGCTTTACGGCTCCTCCATCAGCGACTGTGGTTCTTCTCAGCATCTCTGCTCCGCAGTCGACGGGGCATCTGCGCTGATTGTCCATGGGCTATGGATTTCTAGACGCTGTCGTATATTGGCAATCAGTTATCGGTAAAAGCACGGGGGCCCTGACGTCTTCACTGAAAACTCAACGGGTCGCGTAGGTCTCCCAGTTCAAGGATTAATATGCCAAGACTAATATTGCTTGCTATCTCTCACGACGTGATTCAAGCATAATCATCGTGAACTTTATTCACTGTGCTGGCACGGTACCGAGAAATGTCCTAGACAAAGATAACAAGATGAATGCCATAAACAGGACTCAGGGTTTTGTGCCGCCGCCAGGCTCACCACTGTTCCCTGGCGTTCCTGTTGTAAAAGGCTTGCAACTGACCCAGGTTAACGCTGTAGTAGGTATCGCCCGCAGCGATCGCTGAGACCAGTGCTCCGCGTAGGCAACTGGCACCGCTAGGGATGAGCTACTCGTTCTGGAGCCATCCGCCGCGAGTTCAGGCGATAATAGGACTGTATTACTACAGATCCCAGTGACCGAGGTACCTGCGAAGTGCCCTTTGACGAGACTACCTTACGACAGTCGTGTCAAAGTGCGGCGATTAGGCGCAGGGAGCTTCCACCTTCTGTATCACTCATACATCAACGCACATTCTTCTACATTCCCGCGCATAAGGCTAACTCTAACACATACTCCGCTTTGAGTCAGTATGTGGCTGTTCGGATTTGTGTCCTCAGCACGCACATGTTGCGTGTTCCAGACATATCGTTTCACGCTTAGCTCTTTAGAGGGCTTACTCGTGCTCAAATTCATGTTCCCAATCGATTAAAATTCGTCCGGGGCATATATGAGGCGGGCTGCCTCACGCGCTGTCATCCTAAGAAATCGGCAACGTGACTTCTCGTGGAGCCACGACGTAGAGCTTTTATTGTCTCTAGGCCGCACCTGACACCATGTCACGTCAAGGCACCTGCCCTCATATTAAACACTGCCTGCGAGCCGTTACTCGCATGGCACTACCGCTGAGACCCTTTCCTTGAGATGGACGCCGAGAAATTTTTGTACACGAACTGCCCGCCGCAGCGTCGCTCCTCGGAGACCGCGTCTATCTCTCAGGCTTGCGGTGAGCGAATAGCTCGACAGACAGCTTCCGCCCCAAACTGTAAAATTTCTCCTTCGAGCTTTGCCTGCGTGGGGCGCATGCGCCGCCCTACTATTGAGCATTTGCGTTATCCCGGAAGCGGTCACAAATTAACGAATCATCTGCTTTTGAAGCGACAGCGCTCCAAGACGAACCTACAGTTCGCGACTCCTCGGATTGGTCGCATCACCTGCATCTGAGCAGGGGTCTCAACATAGAAGCAAGGCACCACCTAGAACATGAGCTGCCATAGTACGTCACCGCGACATCAGCAGTATTCAGCTGAGATGATTTTAGAGACAAGGTCAAGATATGAAAGCGTTCATGTCACAAGCTCAGCCGTGAGTTGTTGTATTATCAGTTTTCGACTCGGAGGATGGTCTCGGTGAGAAATGAGTGCGCTCGCTGACAGAATGCCATAATATAAATATCTCCCTATCGCATAGGCTTCCATACAGGTGATCGGCAATGTGACTTTATGTTAAGCACCGAGAGAAAATTTTCCCACAGCTCTCCAACGGACCACGAAACACACCGATTTGAATCGAGGAGTGGGATACTAGTTACGCGGGGATAGTTCACCAGAAGTAGCAAGCGTATGAGTCTGGTACTAATGTTGACGGACACGATTTGCGTCTCATATTTCTGCTTATACTGTAAGTGCTAATGGCTGTTGTTAAGCCGAGCGACCGCCCCGCGGCAAACCCTACAGAAAAACTTGGTGCTTAAAGTTGGTAGGACTATCTAGCCAATGAAATGGCATCTTATAGAGCCTCAGCACGCTCGCATGGCCCCGACGTGCGACGGAAATATGCTGGTAAAAACTGAATTGCTTCCAAGCAATATGTATCATTCGTAGGGTAAGTGTTACGTACTAGAACAGGTGCTATGCAATATATAGGCAGCATGCTTGTCTGCTCCAGCTCGAGGAATCCGCGATTGAAATATATCGGCACTCACCCCCCGCTACTTTCTCAAGCTGTATGTCTTCCTTGCAGGCTCAAGCATCTATTGTCGCCTACATCTCCTGAAATTATCTGCCTCGCAGCACTTCAAGTCCAGGTTGCCTGCCCCGAAGCATGAATATCGGTGCTTCAGCCGTCTGCCTCACCTTCGGACCCTCCGTCATGACCCTTCAACAAGGCATTAGTGGCGTCGTAATCCCTATTACTATGGAGACACTCAATGATGGAGGTATTGCAATGCTCGAAGATCTCGAGCACCTTCAAATTACTATCCATACGAGCTCTCGTACGTGTTCTGCCTCGCACTTGGCCGTACTCCCGTTGAGTCTCCGCGTTTTCCTAGCCCACCTCACCTCTATGAACCGTCTCGGCCTCTCTTATTTTCCTCTCCTCCGCTCCCTCACCTTTCACATCGTCTTTGACACTATCAACGATGCATGCGTCATCCATGCCTGGGCCGGCACCTTCACCGTCGTCTGTACCATCCCCGAGGCCTCCCAGCTCGAGCACCTCACGCTCTCTAGCCCCGTCCCCCGCGCCATCATGCGCTCAGCGTGGTCCAGCTCAACCCTCGTCCGTGCACTCGAGCGGCCGCCGTACAGTCTCGACAGATGCCTTGTCGCGCTTGTCGACCGCGCGCCGCTGCGTGTCATCACGCTTGTGGCACCGCAGGGGGAACAGTTCATGTCAAGTGACTGGGTGCGTGCGAGAAGCTTCTTCCGAGCTCTCTGGGACTACGGTATGCTCGAATTCTGAGTACCAAAGCATATTATCGGAAGTCATTGCCTCTTGTCTCGCTGTCTTCAGTGGTATCTGCACTATTTTCCTCCCGCGTGGATATCATTTAACCTTCGATGTACCCATTGCTTCTTGTTAACTTCGGCACTCTTCAGTGGATTCTACTGTACGACTGTTAGGATTTCAGCAGGATTTCTGTTAGAGTTATATATTGCATGCTTATGTGAGCTTACTACGATATTTTCAACTTCTCCGGAGCTTGCTACGACTTCGATGGCGCACGTGTGCGGACCCTTGGCGACACCGCCACCTGGAAGCACAGTCGGAGACATACAGGCGCCCCATCAAAGATGGTGTGCCACACGGTGAACGGTGACCCATGAGACCCGGTCAGGAAGTTGCTTCCGGGGACCAAATATGTACTGTATCATACGTATGAGACCGAGCAAAATACGCGCTACGCCCCTCTTCGAGCTGAAGCCCGACATGGCCGACTGACGCAAACTGAAACTTGTCATAGCCTAAGCAGAAAAATATGCCGTCAATCGGTCATGCCATAGAACGTGTTCGTTTCATGCACCACATGGAACGAACAAAGTTCGAGCAATGTAGCTATCACCATATCGCGGACGGCGAGCGCGCGCTTTCCTGGATGTTCACTCTTGGTCGAACCCGATATCGCAGGAGTGAATATGCTGGTCCTTGGCACGGGTCAGCTGGCGGCTTGTTGAGATGATTGGTGCCAGCTGATCTCAACTTGAAGCCAGCCTCATTCGCGGCAGTAGAGGCAGTAGGCTTGGATACGATTTGAAGAGGCTGACAACTGGGTTAGTATCAATAAAAGCGAGACGTACTAAACAAAAAGGGCACGTTATGCTGAAACCAGAAATTACTTAAGCGTACTGTAACCGTCGGGCACATCACGCGTCACATAGCCCCTGCCCGCCGCAGAGCAGAGGTCACGTCGCCACAAGGGGTGCCGCGGCCGCCGCGGCCCGCCGATGCTTATGTCATCCGGCGCGGGACCGTAAATTTGGCGGGGTTCAGCTCTACTTCGCTCATCGAAATAGCCTTAGTTTGATACAAATTTACTCACTGTATCGTCCATCCTGTGTCCAGCCCTTTCCCCTTTACATATGTGCTCTGTAAGTGTCTCGACACCACCCTTTATCCTCTCTGACACATTATGTTGGTGATAGTGGAGTGCAGCAGCGGGAGAGGGACGTGACCGTTGGAAGGGAAAAGGGAAGTCGTTACAAATCAACAGGTCAACGCCTCCGGGTGGCTTCCGACTGTTCTAAGTGCCAGAAGGAGCTTGACGCTTAAGGGTCCCCGCGCCTCGCAAACGCGTCGCCGAGCACGTCGTCTCGCATACTGTACGCAGGGATATGACAGTGTACTTCAGGCCAATCAATATATAACCTTCAATGCTCAGTGCATGCTGTACCAACCTACGCTCCAGTTCAAGGCAGTTCTCAAGACAATCTGCCAAGCCCAATACACCTCAAGACACCCGCATCAAGCCCAAGACGGCCGCCAAGAGCTGGCAGTTTCGCTGATGTTATCCGCAGCGCCGGCATTGTACCGGCAGAAATCATCCCGGAGAAGACAGCAGGAAGCTGTTCAAGTTGACACCCCACTCGTACCCATATCTGTATTTCTATCCCGCCTAGCTCAGCATATTCGGAGTGCACACGGCTCGGAGGTGGGTTATCAGACGTCCTGTTATACGTCGCCATATGGCGCGTAGCAGATAATCTGCGCAGCGCTGCCGCTATGCCTATTTCGTTGCCACGAAGAATATCGGAACGTCACACAGAGACTATCCGGCGCAGCATCGCGTTGAGAACGACACGTCCGGTCCTTCGTAGGCGAACAACTCAGCGGACAATTCCAGCCAAACACTCGGGCTCTTCCGCACGGCAGTTACAGTACGAAGATTATATTGATGCATGTAGCTGCGTGCCTTTGAGGTGATAGCACACGATTGCACTGCACATTTCTCTAGCTCAGTCCGAGTCGCATTGCTCGAGTGTAAGCGAGAGTGCTCGACGTGCGGGCGTGTCAGGCGTGAGCGTGAGGCACCATCTGACAAATCAGTCAAAGCTCGGTGTCATGATACTGCCCGTGGTCATTTGGATGTGACATACCAGTATCTAGGGCACTCACAGTGCCTGGAGCACTCACTATCACAGCAGTTAGCTGCGGACTATTGTATGGTTGCACCGGCGGGGGACTGAGGAATCCTACAGAGGAAGAAATATAACGTCGTTAGGGGGCCACAAACTCGATGCTCATCCGCAGGACGCCACATAGGCGTGCGGTCATGATCTGTGCCAAGCAAATACTAAGGATGGCCGCAACCTATTCGAGACTTGCGGCTCGGAACGGATTAGATCAGGCTATCAATATTTGTGTCAAGGAGCGAGATGGCCGTGAGCGGGTAGCTCACCAGATACGGAAAATACGTGACACTATTGATGCAGAAAGATCATATCAGCGTCTACTTCCTCTGCTCATACCGCAAGTGCAAATTCAGCACGTACCGGGGCAAGTGCAACGCTGTCAGAATGTCACAAGAAAGATATTCGAGCTAATGATTATCGCCGGGTTGGGCGAGCCCCACAGACAACACCATGATTGAAATCAACAAGGACGTTCTCCCTACCAGGTGGAACCTTCTTTGGTCTGACAAAATGACTGCCGAGAAATCTTCTCACCACACAGGCATGGTACGGTAGCAGAAATCACTCCCAAGCGATTTGATTCGCTTCCGCGGTAGATATTACACAGAACTCTTGCCAGATTTACGCAATAAATTCTGCTCAAGCTCGGGAGACCTGCAATGTATATATAACGGTACTCGCTCTCAGCTGCTTCTCTAGATCTCAAGTTTGTGTCTCCGGCAAAACTAATTGTTACTCGCTACATCTTCCTACTCTCTCTGCCTCGCACCACCCGTCCAGAATTCTTCACCTCAAATCATGGGTGCTGTTGCCCCAGTCATCTACCTCACCTTTGGACCCTCCATCGTGACCATCCGGCAAGGCATTAGTGGCATCGTAATCCCCATTACTATAGATGCTCTCAACAATGGGGGCATTGTAGTGCTTCAAAATATCGAGCATATGCAAGTTGTCGCTCATGCCAGCTCTTGTACGTGACCTGTATCGTGTTTGCCGGTGGTTATGCTCACGTTGACTCCTTGAACATCGCTCAGCCCACCTCACATCTATGAATCACCTCGACCTTTCCCGATTTCCTGCCCTCAGATCCCTTACTTTCTACGTCGTCTTCGACACCCTCGACAGCACATGCGTCGTTCGCGCCTGGACCGGCATTCTCGCCGCCGTCCGTACCATCCCCAGGATCTCCCACCTCGAGCATTTCACGCTCTGCAGCCCCGCCTCACAGGCCATCATGCGCTCAGGCTCAGCCCTCTTCCACGCACTCGAGCAGCCGCTGTATAGTCTCGATAGGTGCCTTGCCGCGCTCGTCGACCGCGCGCCGCTGCGTGTCGTCACGCTGGTGCCGCCGCAGGGCGAGGAATTTATCTCAAGCGACTGGATACGTGCGAGGAGCTTCTTCAGTGCGCTCTGGGACTACGACATGCTTGCGTTCTGAGCTCGTGTTATTGGAGACTGCAGTGCTCTGCCACTTCGTTTTTTTTGTGTCTGCATTATATTTCTTGAGTGTAGAGATTAGGTTCTAGCTGTTCGGCTTACCGGTTACCTCTTGTTAGCCTCACAGGCAGCATACTGCAGTACCTGTTTGTGAATTCAACTTCACAGGCGTTGCCTATCTGGGAGTATATCTACATACATGTCAGGTCCCTACTTCGCATGCTTCCGCACCAAAATATTAGTATTCCTGCCCCAGTCGTTTGTTACGCCTTCGGCAGCGCATCCGTATGGAAGCGCGCCCTGAGACACAGTCAGATATGCACAGAAGCTCCATCAGAGACAGCGCCCAGCCACACGGCGAGCTAGAGACCCGATTGGGCAAGCTGCCCGTCATCATCTCCGACGACAGAGCAAAATGCATACCGTGTGAATGACGTCCGTGGAGTACGGGCCTTCGGGCTTACAGTTTTCCGAATGTGATTGCTTTGACATCCATGCAGTTGGACGTTTGGGCGGCATGACTGCCGCTGTGCTGCGGATGGTCCGGCGGCGAGCAGCACGCATGCCTTTCCCGGTGTTCCGAGTGCGAGGCTGCTGGGTTCTGAACATCTCCTGCTGCTCACATTTTTAGAGACAACATGCAGCAAAGACAGCTCGAGGCCACGGAGTCGGATGCGCTGGTCTGCCGCGGTGATGCGGGTCCGTCGGTAGCTTCATTGACGCGAGCTGAGGCAGACGAACTTGGCAAGCGTTTGATTCAATTGTGAGCTGCAGGCTGATAACATAGTTAGTGTCAGTAATATCAGGACTTGTAAAGCAACAAGTGCTTGGTACGTAGGTTTGTACTGAACGTCCAAGTTGCTCGCCTGGCACTGCGGCTAGAGATTACCTAAGATTATACCACGTGATATTTATGACGTGGCGCTAGTTCTGACTCCCACGATCTCCCGTTCTTGCTCTTGTCGTTGGCTACGTGTCTCTCGTACTTGAAGCCGACCCTGGTGCGACATCCTCAAACGACGAGACCTGAAGTGCCTCCGAGAAGACGTTGATAATGGACTAGATGTACGAGAAGTGGCTGGAACGAGCGGCGGGTGCCCACATCTATTCGCCAGAGGACATTCGTGTAATTATCGAACGCATTCAATGTCCAATATTCTCTTGTAGTGGTAGCTCTTATTTGAGGTACAATCATCCCGCACTCCTCTGGCTGGCTCTATATGCTCGCTGTGCCAGGCCTCTTAGGACCTCGTGCTGAATAACAACTTCGAAGAGCACAGCTATTTGCCCAGCCAATCAGATAGTGTCCTATCTCGATATAGTAAACTAGTCGTCAGACATTGTCTCGGCGTGCAATCAGGTTATACCAATAGAAAACATTTCTAAGCAATGTATTTCATTCACACAGCGAGCATTACACGGAACACTTACAATATCCATGTAACGTATTTTTGCACGAACTACAGAAATCTGTGACACTTATATATCTGCACTGGCCCCCTAATACATCTCCCAAGCTTCGTGTTCTCTATACCAACTTAGGTAAGCGTCACTGTTCATATACTCTTATACTATCTCCCTCATCATTCACACAGAGTTTCCCTCTTCGAACCATGGATTTCGCAGCCTCAGTCGTTTATCTCACCTTCTGAATCTCCATCGCGACCCTTCAGCAAGGCATAATGGCGTTGCAATCCGCATTGCCATGGACACACTCAACAACTGTGGCATCGCAATGTTTGAAAATATCGAGCATCTTTAAGTTGCCGTTCACGCCGGCTCTCATACGTGATCTGTATTATGCCTGGATGTGTCCTTGCTAATTCATCGAGGTTTTCTCAGCTTGTATTGAAGCAGCAAGACGTACAGGGCCCCTCAAGAATGCATAGAAGACAAGCTTCACCAAGATGTACGTGAAGCCAGACGGGTAGTGGTTGCGCAAAATCCGTTCGCTGTTGGGCATTCTTTGAATCCCAAAGAACAGAGAAAAGAGTATGTTCAATGTCCAATTCTCCTCTGCGGTGTCCGTTTTGATGCAAGGTGCGAACAGACTCTCACTTCTCTGGTCGGCTCTCCATACTCGTTGCCAATCTGCTTATAGTCTCTGTCCTCGAGCTTGGTGCTGGGTTCGTTCAAACATTCAAACAGTTCCTTGCTGTGTCAAATTTATCAGAATTTCATGCTAGATAGCGGCACCGAGGAACATAGCTACGTCCACGCTGCACTGGATGCCAGTAAAGTCGCGTTCTGCCATGACAGGCTCAACACCAAGCCGCAAGGCCATTCACAGATGCCTACAAGCATGTGGAACTGCTTACGCAGTCATTTGCGATAAGCTGTTCATCCTCATTTGCAGCGTCATCTGGCCTTCTATCGATGTTGCCATTGCGGCAAAGCTCACGCAAAGATTTTCATGGGGTGGCTGATGTTGTGTGCCCTATCCATTCCAATGCAAGGTACCTAAGCACAGGTTATGTTACAGGACACATTTCGGCACGTCATAGATGCAAAACCTATTGCCTGTGATGAATAGCATTATTTTTATGCCTACAAATTTTCGTCTTCCCGATGCTAGTGGGCAGCGCAGGCTCGGAGACTATTCTCGACGTCGTGCGGGTCCGCTGATGCTTAAATAATCCAGCGCGAGACCCTTGTCTAATAAGATTCCACCCACTTATGGAATTCAAGTGGCATGCGAAGACGCCTTCTTTTGTTGGGTAGCAGCACTACGAGCGTGGATGCGCGGAGCTTTTGGATTAGATAAGAGCAACCAACGCAAGTTGTTGTCCAGGTAGGCGACGTACAGGACGGCTGTGAATATCCTCCGCCGATGGACACTGCGTGGAGCTCTATCCGCTATCCCGGGCATGCCACGCTCGACCATTCACGTACGAGAATTCAGAAAGTGTACGCGCGTGTTCTTCTGCACCACAATAAGGACGTAAGTATAAGCAATTCTCGGGAAACATTTATGCAGCGTACCCGGCGCTCCCCTCCGTGAGAACCACCCCGTCTTCAACAAGCCACATACCCGAGCCGATCGCATTCCCCAAGCCCAAATTGATCTGTGTTAGAAGGTAAGGTGCGCCTGTCTGCATTTGCTCAGCCCAGATGATACTGCATGACTGGTCAGACTCTTCTAAGACCCGAGTCACACTGGACTTTGCTGTACCGTCGTCCGCTGCAGGACCGTCGACATCCGTGTCGTGGAGGATCGCTGCGGGCTCGCCAAAGTGGTAGATCCGGAGGATATCGACTAGCTGATCCTCCTGCGGGTTTTGTACACTCCCTTCGTTCCGCCGGACCCTGCCACTGGTAACATAACGAGATCCGTACACGGAAGTAACTTCCATGTCCGATGTGTGGAACAGCCGGCACTCCTTCGCATAAGCCTTCCATGGTATCGTATGTGCCAAAGGGGGAGCTACGGTGCGCGCCCCGGATTGTACGAGCCGGGACAAAATCAATCGGCCTGGAAGGAAGAGTGAATGCTGAATAGTATGGTCCCCGCCGTCGTTGGTCCATATCGTCACGAGCACAATGGGCGGTCCCGCCGCGCGGAAAGCCACACCTTCGAGCTGCGCTGGCAGGGCAACAGGACTATCAGGCTGGCAATCGAGCATGGCAAAAGTGTTGCTTGAGTATGGCTTCACTGGCAATGGCAATTCAAGGATGAGCGAGGCGTGGCGGCGCATGGCGTCCGGAAAGAGTAACCGTGCGGGACAGGAGACACTGTAGCAGTCGAAAACAGCTAAAACATGCCCAGAGCTTGTTCCGCTAGCTGTTATCATGACATATCGTGAGTCAAGAAGTGCACAATCCTGCACCACAATCTCTGCTCCGTCTACGTCAGTGTCAACACCAAAATTCTTGTAGAATAAACAATTGGTCAATAGAGGAGCTGAAGGAGGTAGCAATGCGTACCAGCAGTAAAGAGCCCTGTCTCCAATCGAATACCCAAAACTCGGGTTTGCCATTCGAGAAGTTGTAACGGAGCAGAACGATGTCTCCGCAAAGATACACCACGGCTGCCCCTTCAACGCCCTCCATTGGAAGAGTTGCAAAAAGGGTGACATGTTTGGCTGCAGGATGCACTTGGCCGGTAGTACATCTCAGGAAACGCAGTGTAACCCGGCTGCTTTCGACGGAGCTGAGTAACGTCAGATGATTGTCCTGAACCAAGTTCAGACGGCGGTACCTTTCACAGAGAACCAGTAGGTCTTGATACCAGTCAAAATTAAATGTATAGTATTCGTGAAGGCTATTCAATGTCCAGCTTCTCGGCTCGACACCTCTTAACTTTGCTCCCAAGGTATAGAATTCGATAGCGGTGTCCAGTTCGTCTTCGGACATTCCTTGAGCGAATACGGGTCCGGAGACGCAGACGACTGGTGTGAACGAAGGCAAGCTACGCTCCTCGTTCCAGGACGGCCTCTTCCATGTCTGACGCCAAGATTTCAGTCTGTCCGTTTTGTTTTGAAAGGAGTATCCTGACGCGGGCGATCCGTCCACTGCCCCCGTCAGAAAACGCTCTATTTTGTACTGAAGCTCAGCTGAGTCTCGAATGAGGCCGCAAAAGCTGGAAGAAACCTTCGTAAAACATTGTTAGAATACATACGGCAGCACATGACTCCATGATGAGAATGATACGTACTCGCTGGAAGCGAACAACATCGAGTACAGGGAGAAGGCAGAGGATCCTTGCGCACAACTCGACAGGGAGATCATGAAGCTGGACCATCTTGAAGCCCAAGATGCAAAGTAGTGTGGCGTCTGCCGACCTGAATGCAGAGCTCTGCCTAGGATGATATCTCACAATAAACACGGTGATTCGCTGGCAGTATTAAGCGCGCTAAGTCGTTTCTCGAAGCGGCGCTTGATTCGCCTGTGGGAACTCGGGCCGATGCCCTGCTCACCGTGACTGCGAAGTTCGCTAAGCGACCAGGGACAAGATCACTCACCACGTAGGGTGAGCTCTAGTGCACTGTTGTGCGTAAACATTCACTGGAAAATATGTCAACGTGGCGAAATCAACGCTTTGCACAAGGTCCGCAAGCCTACGCAATATCTTGTCCGACGAAAATCTGATAGCGGCTACGGGTACAGCGATCATAAATTGCGGCAGTCTTCCAGCGTTATGGCAAGCACAGGTGGTGGCGATTTCCAGATTTTCTCATCGAGCGTGATGCTTTTGCGGAAGACTTGACGCGGTGCTATCTTGCTTGAGGTCAGTATTTCGCACTCTTTCGCCGCTTTTGAAGCTTAAAGCCTATTGATATGGTAGTATTATGGTACGCACTCCATGAATGGTCTATGCTGTGAAAAATGTCATGGGTCCGGCTTCCTCCGCTGCAACATTTGGGCAGATGTGGGTACAGTGGCGGTGTAATGCGTTTCTCTCACGCCTTGCAGCCATCTGATAGTTCGCGTTTATCTTCCTCCCCACAGTTTCTTGTCTGATCCCCAAGGCCATGTCAGGCTAAAAGATCTGGGGCCTGCGTAAGTTCCGACCGACCAGCCTCCTTTCTACCATATCGCTTTGTTGACGACGTGCTTTGCTCCCACACGCATGCCTCAGGATGAACTTGCACTGGGCGTGATACCTCCCGTGAGTATCCGCTCATCTTGCTCGGCAGCCCTCATACTCTGCTTATGAATCTCTTCGTGTGCACGGTCAGGTTACGGGCATCAATGCCCGTGCCTGCTGCACAAGTACGGGAGCGACTTTGAGCCAGTCTGAGTCTAACAGTTCAGACGCTGACGCAGCGTTTGGTCTGCCATATACTATGTCGAGCGACTCGTGCGTAGTGGAGGCAGCTGAGGCAGTATCTTTGTTTTGCGCGAGAAGCATGGACAGAAGGTGAGCAGGCTATTCACGTCGGACAGTTTTTCGGCCGCGAAGGAGCATTTTATTAACTCACTTCTGCCTCACCTTCTCACTGCCCTCGAAGTTTCGAACGCGCAGTGGATTAGTAGAGTCGTGGTGTCTAAATCACGAGCCTCACGTACGTCACGGCAGCACTTACTCGCACAAAGTGAAATTTATCAGTTGATTGATGTTGCAGGCACTTGATTCGCGCGCCTGGCACTCAACCGTGCTGATGTCACCCTTACAAACTGAGGAACAGAAGTTGGGAAAGCTGGACGGTCCGGTCTGCTACCTTTCTCAACACCGTACAGATTTCCTGATGTCCTTCTAGATTCAGAAGGTCAACTCCTGAGAAGAACGATATGCGCACCGAGCGGGATCCGTCACCATCGCTGTTGGAATTAGGCCGGCGCCAAGCGCCCTGGGCGTTGTGGATAGGCAGCTTTCACATTACGTATGTCTGGCCTCACATTTCACCATCACAACTGGCCGCTGCGGTCACATTCAAATGCGGTCCCTGCTCTGGCTGACTCTTTGAACTCTAAGATCTCCGCCGGTCTTCCAGGCATTCCGCACCGTCGGATGGTTGCCCCCACATTTGCTTTGGAATTTTCCTCGCTAAGGCAAGGGATACCAAGGAAATGTGCGCACACGGAGCGCGAAAGGAAGGCCTCCACAAGCACTGGCGGAGGAACGAGACACTCTCTTGCGAATCAAGGTAAAAGGTCTACATTGACACGTTTGTCTGACTCAAGGCCATAGGTAGCTGTCGGTCGATGTCCACACGGCCCGTGCTGTTAGACCTCAACTCCGCCATGCGCATCCTCGAGGCATTTTCCGTGGCATGCTTTTAACCGGTCAGATTTCTTAGGGAGAAGCAGATATGTGGCATCCTTCGTTCGCACGGCGGTATAAGCTTCGGAGGACTGATATTCTTGGTAATGCCTAAAGGATCTAAAAGAGGTCATGTTTCACGGCCGTCACGACGTGCTAAGATAGGCGTAGTCTGTCAGTTCGTTCAACGGAGCGGACTGGATCTTCGGTCTGCATCACAGTGTCCGAGACTGTGACCATCTGCATATTATGAGCAATCCTTTTCTCTGCTTCAAAATGCTGTGCCACTTATCTAATACATCGATTCATATCTCTCAGGTCCTTGAATATGGCCCGGCGGCGGCAAATTTTTCAACCTCCTCATCGATTTTGGGCAGATCCCATCGGGCCTTTTCAGGCGCAGCAGGTGACTTACGCTTTTCAGTGTCGCTGTTGACGTCAAACGAGACAAATTTATCATTGCGTGTCTGGTTAAGTTTGTTCTGGACCTATTATCACTCCGCTCTCTCACAACCCCAATAATCAATACGCTTTGCCTTGCAGCAATCTCCTGCCCGATCTCGAGGGGAAAATAAACCCAAAAGCTTTGGACCAGCGCGCGACCTTTTCTGTCGACCCGCCTTCTGCTTTGACGCCTCGCTAGAGGCCTTTTCTACTTCTCGTACTATGCATGCCTACAGGGCGGCTCCGCCCCACGGCCTCGCCGTTCTGCTGACATGTCCCCTTGTCCGATAGCAGATTACGAATAGCAGTGTTTATACCCACTTCACAGGTGCAGGGTCAATCTGGGAGGGGCCAGCATTCAGCCGACGGACTGCGGACGTGTTGTTTTGTACGCCAAGGGACGCAAACATACGGGGACGGCCAGTCTTCAAAATGGTTTAATGAAAACCTCCGGCCTCGAGTACGGCACGAAGCAGATGGCCTTGCGCGATTACTTCTTGCGAGCCTGGTGGTAGGGTTTGCTCATCTCCATCGCTGCCTTATGACTCGAAACTTTTCTATCACGACTATCGGTGGATCCGGCAAACCCTCCTTTTGACTGGCTTCGCTATATTTCTTGACGTGACCTGCTCCCTGTTATTCCGTGTTTTGCGTGTCTGTGCCGGTACTCTGGGAACCATGCTCCTAACGTGGCATCGGAGTGAATATCGGACCATTAACGCACCCGGACATGGCTCATGCTTATCCTGTGCCATATGTTCCTCTATACATGCTATCAGCTACGTAACATATGTGTTTTAGGGTTAGACCACCGCTTATGTGAGACGGACTCGAACAACGCAGGTCGGAAGCGAATATCAGATGGTGTGCGGCCCATGAATCAGCCAAGTATAATATTTCTCAGTGCTATGCGAAGACTACTGTACGCACGTTCGATTCTAGGGGTCGAAATTTGAATGTTGCACAACAAATGTATTCGTAACGGTATACTGAGTGAGAAAAGAGTCGCCTGCTCGTGCATCATATCTCTCTGCCGCAAGCTCCGCTCCGTCCTCTCAGTCTGGCAGCCAACACGTCATAAGTCTTACTATGTTTCGCCCTGCACGGACTTCAAAGGACACGTAAAGTGCTTCTGCACATCAATGGGCGTTGCGGGGCAAAGGATACCCGCACGCCGTTGAAACTCGGGAGTGGCGTCCTGACTCAAAGGCCTGCGACGGGCAGTACCCGGCTTGCGATCCTGTGAGCATCACCCAGCGGGGAGCTTATAATTCATTCAGGCGAGCCACGGATTTCGAACAAAGTTGGCCAATTACCATAGGACGCCCAGGGCCTTTGGGTACCCATACGCAATAAAGGTCATCGAATTACTCGATCTGGGAATGTTGTGGGAGGATCGGGCCACCGTGGGAGTCCTGGTTTTCGGTGGTACTTGGCGAGCACTTATGTCAAGACGGAGTTTGACGTTAACCTACCAAGTCAGGACATGCACCGATGCCGATAACCGACGGAGCATACCTTTCAGCCGTCGACCCGCTTCATCTAGATCTCTCGATGATACATGTCAAAAGAGGACTTGACTGCCAGGCCTATATATGGCTTCGCATAGTGCGCCATTTTCTCCGCTACCAGTGTTCCCCACAAGCTCCCCCCCTACTGACACGAACATTCGCAAGAGTGTCTCTCAGTGCTCGCTCGAGCTCAATACTCCATGGAGCCACTCGTCCAATCCGCCCGCGTCGTCTTTGGGCCCAGTGTCCCGGGCTCTCCAGAAGGGGCGGACGATGTACAAGTCCAAATCATCAGAGGCACCTACGAGTGTGAGGGCGTGATAGAGCTCGAGAACATCGCGCACATCCACGTCATCGCTTATGCTAGCTGTCGTACGTCTTTAGCCCTACTCGCACCCGACCATACTAATCACTTGTTCTTTCCCAAGATGACAAACTCAGCTTCGATGGGAGCCGCCTCGACATCTCTCGCGTCCTCGCCCTGCGCTCCCTCACGCTCGAAATCGTCTTCGACACCCTCGATAACGCCTGCGTCATTGGTGTCTGGGCCGCCATCCTCGCCCTCGTCCGGTCCATACCCGAGAACTCTCAGCTCGAGAAGCTCACGCTCACCAGCCCCGTATCCCACGCCGTCCTGCGTTCTGCATGGTCTCAATCGGACCTCGTCCGCGCCCTCAAGCGGCCTCTATACACCCTCGATAAACGCCTCGTCGAGCTCGTTGACCGTGCGCCGCTGCGTGCCGTCACGCTCACGCCTCCCCGGGGCGAAAAGCCCATCTCGACTGACTGGGTGCGCGTGAGTAGCCTCTTCCCCGCGCTTCGAGAGTACGGGATGCTCGAGTTCTAGGTGGTCTGAGGCAAGACGTTATAGAATCCTTCATTTCGGTGTTTCATGTCCGTTTTGCCTGCCTTGCGTAACCTTTAACGCTTCGACGTATCTATTGTCTCTTGTATCTGGTATATTTTCCTTGTATTTAGAGCTTCAGTGACTGCTAAGTGATGTCCAGAATAACTTATTTTTGTACCCCCGGCATTGCTCCCTGTTACTCAGTGATTTGACCTTTGCTTCGGTTATGTTATTCCTGCACGAAGCACCCATGTTCCTCAGCACCCTCGAAAGAGACGTCGCCTAGGGAAGCATAAGTGCGATGTCGGAAACGACATTTGGCCACGGGGCAGCCGAGAGCTCTGCTTTGCGAGCTTCAGGTATATCTACCTCTGCATATCAATCTTAAATTCACAGATGAAGAAGAGGTACACACCACTCGGATGGCGTTCGTGAAGGGCGCGACCTCGTGCAGCTCGCGGTCATTTTCAGGTTCGAAGACGAACACGGGAGACTGGTGCAAATTTGGATTGTCTTATCAGCATATTACGCACGCCGCCAGACCACTCGAGCATCCATTCGAGCGGCGAGCAGCGCGAGCATATCATTCTTTGTGCCCGGCGCACCGCTACTGAGCTAGACAGCCAGTCGGAAGCCGGCAAGCTACAGCAGGAGTCCGTCAAATGGGTTATAAAGCTCAGAAATGTGCGAGCTAGCCTTGATTAATGATTCTGGGGAGCATACCACAAGCATGCAGCTGGATTAGCACCAGAGAAGAGTCGAAGACGGGCTGTCTCGAGCAAGCGCTACACAGGGCCCCCTGGGCACTATCCGCGCGATTTTGATAGTCGTGCGACCCAGATTCCGATTGCAGCAGAATCTGCGCGCTTCAGTCAGAAATCCGTTCGATTTTCGCTCGACCACGCTGCAGACTCTGCTGTAACCACTATCAGCGGATTGCACTCCAGATCTTGTGTATTCCACAATCCGATTTTCAATGAGAGGCTTTTCCGCATGGTGTGAAGCAGGAAATGCCTGTGTAAGGCCGAGGGAGCACAGAGGTACATCGAGACCAGCTAGCAGTCTTACTGTCGCCCAACTCGAGGATGAAACGGACGCGTGATGGGTACGAAGAGGCTTCCAGTGAAGCTCATACTGTACAGGAAGAGCTTGAGGAAGAATCAGGTGCGCATTTTCTCTGCTCTTGAAGTACATTTTGAGCTGACCAGCATGCAGTCTTCTGTGTCGAGCGGTCTAAGTACATCTGTCAGATATGCGACCCAGCGACAGTTCGCCCACTCACCTTGAAGATGGCAATTAAGCACGAGGAAACCATAGAGCACACTCGTCGTTTACGTATATGTGACGGGCGAGTTCCCTCTAGTGACCTGTTTGTTGCCTCTCCAGCTGCTCGCCCCACCTCGCCTCTACCACCCTCATCTCCTATTCGCGATCCATACTATACCAGTGCAACCCCTACTGTTTTGTATAATGCGCCAGCTGCCCTACCAAGTTCTCCCAGCACGCCATCGCAGCAGCACTGTTCACGACAAAGCCGCTTACTTGTCTCGGACGACGGCGAAGATCCTGATCCGGACAATGACAGCACACTCGAGATGACCCCTCGCAGTATATGGGAGCGTGATTTAGTTGTAATTCACGGTCCTCACCTTCCAACAGACCCTCCAGGCCAGATTTACGATGATTGGGGTGGGCGACTAGGCCGCCGTGCAGAGCAAAGCCATATGAACGCTCACACTACCGTGCCGTTCACCAACTATCCTCGTCCCTATGTAGAGGATGTCTCTGATGAAGAGGACAGTGATGGCGGTGACGGACAGCTTGAAAACCCGCAGTTCAGCGATCCGCTTCGTCCAGCTGAGCACGCTCAAGGTAACGCGTCGGACATTAAGTTATCAGGGATTAAACATTTACATGGGATATCACTAGATGACAACTACGAAAGAGAAGAACATTCTTCACCTAAGAATGAGGAATGGTGGCCATGGCGCAGCCAGAAGGCTAGTGTCATCCCGGCACACAAGAGTATATTAGTGGACTGAACTCGTTATATAGGAATGTCTCATCGATGTTCTGGGTGCATTTCCCCGCGCAGCTTTCTCAGAGGCCGAGATGGACGTCACCCGGTGGTTCGCAACCCAACTCGGTGCTCTCGATTTGCCCAGCGTCCGCGTTGTCAAAGATCATCGCGCTTTTGTCCTCAAGACAGCGGGATCCCAGCCGGAGATGGTCAAAAGCTCTCTTGGGAATTACTATTACAAGACAAGCCTCGGAACAATTCTGACACATGTGAATCACGCTTACAAGGTGCGTTGAATACGCTTAATTAAACTGCCACGCAGGAGATGGCCAATCCAATGGTTCGCCCTCTGCTACATTTGTATCCGGAGAAGAGTGCGCCACACCTGTCTGAGGCCCGTCAGGCTGACAGATGGTTGTCTGAAGTCGAGCCCAAGTATGCCGGCATCATGGCGCGCGATGCTGAGGGACAGCAAGACTATTACATACACGAGCCGTGTCTCGCTGACCTCGATGGCACGGGAAAACCTGCCATAGTAATGCCCGTTCGATTCTTCATGAAGAACGGCTCGATGCACGCGCAAGCACATTGCATGACAGTGCTCGAAGACGGCTTCGTCATTGAAGCAGGCCGAAAGCGGGACTGTCGTGATGTGCCGCTCTCTGCACTCAAGTTAAGCTTTCCACGGCTCCTTGAGTCATTTGCGCTCTATAAACTACCGTCGCCAGACCAGATTATAGGTGCGCAGCATCACTAATGTTTGATGGTTGTTCTCATCTCCGATAGGCGTTCGGCGTCATAAATGCAGCTGTCAAAGAAGCCAGACAACT